GTGTTTTTGTGCAATGACAATAAAGGAAGTCTAAGTCTAAGTCTAACATTTCTTTGTGTCTCTGAGCTCTAACCCAAACCCTTACTCTGCTTTCTGGGGAAACTCCTCCTCCAGGGTTTCTGCTCTTTACCCAAATTGTTGTCAAACAGCTTTGTCCAAATGCCCCCCCTCACATTTAGCATCGTGAAATAATCCATTAGCAGCCCTGTGTGTTTTTTGTATTTTTTATTTATTTGTTTTTTATTTGAAGTTTTTTGCTTAATTTTGCTCTCTGTGTGCGATTTTTTTGCCCTGGAAGTAACCTTAATTTTCTGAGGGAGTCTTCCCAAGGGATCAATAAAGTACAAGTCTAAGTCTAAGTCTGTCTGCTGCTGTCTTTAGCCTCAGATCCTGCTGAGTCATGTCCGTGTTCGGGGGGAAGACATGGTTCTGCTCCAGGTTTCTGCCTGTTAAAGGAAGTTTTTCCTTGCCTGTGTCGCCTAGTGCTGCTCATGGTGGGAATTGTTGGGTTTCTGTAATTAACTTCAGAGTAGGTCTGACCTGCTCTGTTTGGAAAGATAACTGTTGTTGTGATGTGGAGCTATAGAAATAGAATTGAATTGAATTAATTTGAATTTTGTAATGTCATTGTCTGAACGTGTGTTTGGACTGAGTTTGTATTTTGTGATTTTGTGTTGTTTTGTCTCAGGACCACAGATGTAAACTAGCAACTATGCTAGAATCTGGCTCATTTACAATCTGTATGAGATTGTTCATTAATGAGCACCGTCCTGATTAAATAAATAAATAAATAAATGAATAAAAAATGACTCAGCAGGTTGGTGTTGTTTGTGGTGACATTGGGGCTGAAACAGCCCTGAAACTTTCCCCCCGGCCGAGTCTAAAACAGAAAACAGAAGAGCTGCAGTGGAATCTCAGGCTGCTGCTTCTTTATGAGTTTGGCCTGAAGCCATCTGGACCTTTAACTGTCAACGTTACATAATGTGGGCAGATAGAGGTCAGTATTCAGGTCAAGGACCTCAAGTAGTTGTTCTATTTGTAATGGATCTATCTGAAGCTCTTTTTTCCCTTTTCTGTGTATATATGTATACATATATATATATATATATATATATACTGGACTAGTTAAACACCTAAAAGCAGCATAAACAGCCTAAAGGGACTCAAGTAAAGACCATTTAAAGTCATATTCTAATTGGTTTTATTATCAATCCTCCTCATTAATGCAAACTGAATCAGTAGAGAAATGCTAAATGCTAAATATGCTAAATAAACCAACTCTATTACATTGGAGGAT